ACGGAATGGGAAAAGATATTTGCAAATGACATATCGGACAAAGGGCTAGTATCCAAAATCTATAAAGAGCTCACCAAACTCCACACCCGAAAAGCAAATAACCCAGTGAAGAAATGGGCAGAAAACATGAATAGACACTTCTCTAAAGAAGACATCCGGATGGCCAACAGGCACATGAAAAGATGTTCAGCGTCGCTCCTTCTCAGGGAAATACAAATCAAAACCACACTCAGGTATCACCTCATGCCAGTCAGAGTGGCCAAAATGAACAAATCAGGAGACTATAGATGCTGGCAAGGATGTGGAGAAATGGGAACCCTCTTGCACTGTTGGTGGGAATGCAAATTGGTGCAGCCGCTCTGGAAAGCAGTGTGGAGGTTCCTCAGAAAATTAAAAATAGACCTACCCTATGACCCAGCAATAGCACTGCTAGGAATTTATCCAAGGGACACAGGAGTACTGATGCATAGGGGCACTTGTACCCCAACGTTCATAGCAGCACTCTCAACAATAGCCAAATTATGGAAAGAGCCTAAATGTCCATCAACTGATGAATGGATAAAGAAATTGTGGTTTATATACACTATGGAATACTACGTGGCAATGAGAAAAAATGAAATATGGCCTTTTGTAGCAACGTGGATGGAACTGGAGAGTGTGATGCTAAGTGAAATAAGCCATACAGAGAAAGACAGATACCATATGGTTTCACTCTTATGTGGATCCTGAGAAACTTAACAGGAACCCATGGGGGAGGGGAAGGAAAAAAAAAAAAAAGAGGTTAGAGTGGGAGAGAGCCAAAGCATAAGAGACTGTTGAGAACTGAGAACAAACTAAGGGTTGATGGGGGGTGGGAGGGAGGAGAGGGTGGGTGATGGTATTGAGGAGGGCACCTTTTGGGATGAGCACTGGGAGTTGTATGGAAACCAATTTGACAATAAAGTTCATATATAAATAAAAAAATAAAATAAAATAAAATAAAAAATAAATACATAAAATAAAATAAGTCAGCACCACTTTGCTACGTGCAAGGCATTTTATCAACATTTCTAGGTTAACTCTATGGGAAATGAAATCTTCCAAAATAGTTTTTAGAAGATTATCTCAAATATGGATGCAATGGAATTGAAGCAAGTGAGCCAGAAGGTACCCAGGAACCACAAGTATATCCAAATATTGGCCTCTAGGCTTTTTCTTGTATGTCCAACTACAGCTTCATAAAGCAGGACTGAATAAAATTGGCTGCGAAGGTAACCTAGCTTAATGAAGCAAGTAATGAGTTGGTAAGTAGAAATTATTGCTACATTGTGCCATTAACCGTGACCCAAGAAACACTCAACAGTATTTTTAAGATTCCCTGAAGTATGTGTTTTTTTTACTTGTCACATATCAAATGCTGTCCACTTGAATGTTTAGGTATTGCATTGTTCATATTAGTTGTTACCCTCACTTGTGACTACAGATGAAGACTTTGGTCCAAGGCTATGCTTTGTGTAACCCTAGGGCAAGTCGCTTAACCTCTGAGCTATTTTTTCTCATTTATTAAATAAGCTGATATCTGCCAGGCCCACCTCACAGAGTTGTTGGAGACCAAAAGTACATAATCCATGTTGAAACACTTTGTAAAGCAGTACAAATTTCAGGATTTTAAATTATTTGTATTGGTTTTAGTTTGTTTTGACAAAGGACAGTTTGATAGACCTTTGTTTTTCTTTATGCAAGCTGTATACTTGGAAATTATATGTTCCTCTAAAATGATTGTGTGAGTGTCCTACAGATTTCTAACTTTTTTCCTTAGATCACTAATGTGCTCAGATCTATTCACAAAGGCAGGATTAGAAGTGTCATCTCCAGCCATGGAGTGAATCTACTCACCACAGTAGGGCTTCCCAGGGAACATGAATATTCATCTCTTGCCACGAGACGGTAGAAGGAGGCAAGGACATTCCTGGTTTTCTGTGTGTCAGGCAATGATTCTCCTTACACTCTGACCCCAGTTTCCTTATCTTTATAGATTCCTTTACTAGGCATACAACAATAACACATGGCCAAACAAGAATGATTCTGATACCATAAGAGTTATAATCTAAAACATTCTACCACCTTCCTACCCGGTGGCTCTTAATCCCATTTAACATCAACCCCACTCAACCAGTAGCTCTGCTCTAATGGTATTTTTCCTTCTCTGGATCCTTGTCCTAATTATTTCACATGCTACCATATGCCATTGTGCTTTTCCATTCATTAACTTTATTGGCTGCTGTCAGTTTCAAACCTTATGTACTGTGCTTCCTGGGCTAAATGTTAAAGAGTTAAAATAATAAAATCTCTCGCCATGCATGAAGCCTTCTTCACAGCCTGACTTGCCAAAAAATGACCTAACCATGTTTTAATACCTCATTAATTTTACTTTTAATTTCCTCCAAGTGAAGCATAAAAAACGTTTACATATACACATTTGAAATGAACAATGATATGCGTTTTCTACCCCTTTTTTGCAATTAATGATTCTACACGTATGTCAAATGGAAATATATTTACTTGGATTCTGCTTTCTAATGGTATTATATAGTACCACTTACTTGCCAAACATTTAACCATACCTGCTGTTAAATCTAGGCAATTCTCGGACTGAAGCTTTCATTTGCACTTGATATTTACCTAACCTTCATTGTACCTGTATGAGGTTTTAGCTTCAGTCTTGGCCACTTTATTACACTCTTTCCAGCAGCTAAGGACACTTTTGATCACTCCTGAAGTCTCATTGGGAGGGCTACTTTCCCTTTAGATTTAGCTTTTGGTAACATTAGATGTTTAACCTAATTCCTTCATGTTTCATTATTTCCTTTATTTTCTTAAAGAAACAGCATTAAAACATTCCTCCTGGCATTAGATATCAATTGGTATCTCTTTTTCACTATGTCTCTCAAAAACCCACATCTTGTATAGGTAAAATATTAACTTATAGTCCCCTGATAACTAAAAATGCATTGGCTTAAGGTAGTGGGGGAGGACAGGTAACGATTAGCAGTCAACTATGCTCTCTCCCTAGAATCTGATTTGTATGGAGCGCTTCCTGTTTTGTTATGCATCCAGCAATCAAGCTAACAAAGCACCATTGCCTTCCACTATTTTTATTTTCCTGATGTTTTGGAAAATTACACTGATAGATTATGTTCCCGAGCAGACTGCTGTTGTTTCTGCTCTTTGGAGTTGAGTCACTACACCACTTTCCTACAATGAGCCCCATTGTTTATTTTAAAGAAGAACAAAGAAAGCAATTTTTCTTCAGAAAGAAAACAGTTTCTCCTGCAACTTGCTTTCCTCTATTTGACAGTGTCCCATTGTTTAGCTACATGTTTAAACTAAATGGGTAGGCTAGCTATTTTGTCAAGTCAGAGAAGGGATCCCAAATCCACAATTGCAATCATCACTCCTATAGGCTCACAGGTTTTCAGATAAATGATTAATCAGGAAAAACAAATTAGCAGAGATAGAAGGGCATTAGTCAAATGGCACAGATAAGTGTTAGGGAGGCATATACAGCATATACAACGTAATGCTCCTCAACCTTCCTATACTACCAAGATGCTAGAAGAGTGCCAACTTCTAGAGGTCAGTGTCCATCAAAACACAAATGTGACATTTCAGAAAGAACTGCTTTCCACATGCAAGTTGAAATTCAGATGCTCTTTAGTAACGCTAGTTTCTAATAATTTTTCTTTTTAGAAGAGATTCTATTTTAAGAAGAAAAAATCATGTCTGCCTTCTCTAATGTCTGGAGAGAAAAATCTGTTCTATAAACATACACAAACTAAAATAGCCTTTGTTCAAATATTAGGCTTTAAAATGGTGGTTTGTTCGACTTCAACTTGAGATATTTGAATATGGGGGGGAACCTAGCTAAAAATCATATTTCTAGGGCAACATATCAAGAGATAGTGATTCACCTTGTAAGGCCCAGTACTCTGCACAGTTAACAAAACCTCATGATTCCTGTACAGGTGGTCAAGGAGGAACCCTGTTATAAAGGAACACCAGTCATCCAGACTTCCTCTTCTGAGCACCAGGATGTGGAATGCAGTTGCCAAACTATATCTTCCTGTGACTTCCCACTTCTTATCACCCTCCAAATACAGAAGAAACTCAAAGCTTTTATATTAACCCTTAGATACCCTTCTGTCCCCTTTTTCCTAAATATAAATGAGAATTTTGTGATGTTTTATTTTTCCCATCAAGCATTACAATTTGTGTTAGAAGTTTTAGAGAAGGTCATGTCTCCTGTTTTATGGCTGACTGGCACACCTTATTAAAAGTGTGCCCCATTTTTAAGAAAGCCCAAAATACCAATAGATTCATGGGGGAGGGGTTGGCCCTTACAAATGTGTACAGAGCCTATTTCAGGATGGATTGTGTCAGTTGTTGGGATGGTCCAAGGAGCCAGAATCAAATGCTCTAATACCACAAGGAGGGGAACCAGAGTCCAAGGCCATCCATCCAGTGAGAACTAAAGGTAAAAGCAGATTTAATTTTAGCCATTAGGGTAGACAGAATTCAATATGCATAACATTTTTCAGGATTCAACTTGCATAAAAAGTATTCTTTTATATACACAAGACAGTAGGCAACTCTTAGCTCCCATGATGCCTTGGTGACATAAAGTCACCCTCTCTAAATGAACACAACTTTGTGGGATCCCCACTGGGAGAGTGGAACACATTCGATTTCAGTCCCCTCTTTTCCCCTCAGCCCAGATTCCTTCTACAGGGCCACCTGCACATCCTTCTCAACTGTCTTGCAAAGCGTTTCCTTTTTGTACATTCATCTGTTTGAAGGAAGGGTGCAGACAATTCTCTAAAATAATGGAAAGAAACACTTATTTGTGTTAGGTAGCCATCGCTTCCAAGGATGTAAATATAATAATCCCTGACTTCAATCTCTAGGGAGAGGTCTATTTCCATGATTTTGGTCTAAAACATTTCCTTTTACTGGGAGACTAGGGGAGTTTCCACGGGTGCTCGGGTGTGATGGAGAAGCTGCAGTATGCCAGCCTCCTGAGCCGGCTGCAGAGAGTGAAGGAGCAGTCCCAGGTGATCAATCAAGCAATGGCGGAGCTGGCAACCATTCCCTATCTACAGGACATCAGTCAAGAGGAGACAGAATTGGTAAGTGTTTTTCTTTGTTTAAGGCTTTCACAGGCCCCCAGCCAACAGAAGAATGATATGTCCCGAAAAACAAAATTGTGAGAATCAATGTAGTCTGAGGGCAACCTGCCCAACCCTCCTGAGGCATTTTAATAAAGAAATTGGAAAATGTAGAAAGATGTGTTTCTGTCTTTTATTTGCTCATGTCGACTAGCCTTCGTTTTTATATTAAGAACTTTGTGATGTGTAAAAACATGGAAAAGGGCTGACTACTCATATTGTGGGTCAGGCTTTTTGCTTTAAATAAAATATAATTTTGATAAATTATTTCTTAAACTCCCAGATGGGTTAGTATATAATTTTCTTGTAAGGGAAAGTAGAGAGGACAAGAGTAATTACTATATAAAAAACAACCCTACGAAATAGTCTTTTTAGTTTTCTTATTCACTTCTAGCATCACATATATGTTGGTAGTGCCAACACACACACACACACACACACACACACACACACACACACACACACTGGTACATTTAGATAAAACAGTTGTTTCATTGCAAGGGAAAATGTAGTTAGACAAATGGCTTTTTTTTTTTTAACTGAATTGACCAATTAACTCAGAAAACACAGAGCCAGTCAAAAATCAGTTGATGGACTATCTCACAGAAACAATCTTCAAACAGATGTGTCTATTATAACCATAATTAATATGAGAAATGATGGCTCCTCATTTGTAAAACTATTACTAACCAATGTGAGGGCCATTCGAGGAAAGGTAAAATTCACTGTATGTGGAAATCCTAATGTGTTGTAAGGGAGGGCTCTTTACTTTGAGGCTTTAATTGAAGGTAGCTAAAACTAATTATAGACCTGAATTGAATTCACATAGCAAGGATGAGAACAGCCCAAACCGATCACCTGTAATTTTCAGATAACTAAAGCAACCCTCCCTCTTTGAGCTTTTAAAGTTGTAACAAATTAATCCATCAAGAAGTGAACTGCCAACATTTATAATGTTCATATGACCCTATAAAAAGGTATTATAAATACTGATATTCAAAGTATATAAAAGGGTCTGACTAGCTGAATGATAAAACTATGCGTACCAAAGTATTAAACTGTGGGGGGAGGGAGTCTAGTAATCAAGGAATTCCTAAATCAAAACCGGCAATAATACTTTGTAAACCTTTATGGTTGTGCGCAGTGGAGCACCTTCTAAAAGGCTAAGTGTTTATCCTTCCATTCATAACGCATTCAGGAGTGCAGTAAGTATGGAGTTTTCAAAGTGCATATTATAGCCAATTTTAGATGATTAATGCTCCTCTGAGATAAGAGGAAGCAAAGAAAATGTTAATTTAAGAAGCTGGCACAGTGTTGATCCTGTCTTCCTAAAAAGCACACTCAAGATTTAAATGAAAAATACAGGGGAGTTTTCTGCACTTAGGTCTTCTTAACCACCTATCTGGAGCTTTTTTTTTTTCCTCTGGAAATACTTACATTTCCAAATATATACACAGAGCATCAAACTAGCATTATTGACATCCCTTACTCACATGTTGTGCAATATCCCATTATCTGAAACCTTGGAAAATAGGATTTCAGGGGTATTTTCATAATTTATATGCCTACTAGAAAAAAATGTAATGTATATGGACGTACATGTACAGGCCAAATATTTAAAAATCATGTATCTTACAAGATTTCATCACCTTAAATAATAGATTTTACTTTCCAACTTCCAAGCATAGGTTAACCTAGAAAATAAATCCTGGTAATATCTTTTATGGTGCTATATAAACAGTGACTGCTCAGTAGAAGAGTTTTGAGTGACTCAACTCTGCCCTCCTGCTTAAGCTCTGCAATATCTAAAGTACAGAGAGATTATCTAAGGGTTCATACTCTTTGATGGCACAGTGAACTGAACTGACATTTGTTCTTTTTTAGAGAACTTTCTTCTCTAGCTTTGAATATCGCATGGCTCGATGCAGCTTCATTACCTTACAACCGCATACATAGCATGTAGATCAGATTCTTTTCAATTGGGACAAGGCAGTTTGGGGCAAAGGGTGGAATTTTTTAAACTTGCCTTTCAAAAAGGCAACTTGGTTATTTTGAAATTTTAGGAAATAAAAGGATAGTAAAAGAACTTAAATGAGCTAGATCCTTTAAAATGCAATAAAACAGCACAATTTTAGTATTGTCCTCGGGTGAGCTTTTGCATGAGGCCTAGAATTATGATACATTAGCCTCAGGAGAAAATACTAAAATGCGCTCATGTACTACATGCCATTTCCTGAGAGAATTAACTACCGCCTTCATTCTTTACAACCCAAATCTGTTTTTACAAAACAGCAACACTTACTACATTAAAACCTATATGTTTTCTACAAATCCTCAAGAAGAATCTTTCCATTGTTACAATATTTTATATCTGCAATAATACTTGGTAATGACTGAAGCAAAGATGAGGTGGCGGTGTTCATTGTCGGAAAGATGAGTAATAAAATCATCAGCGTACAAATGATTTTTTAATTAGGTTTTAATCTGTGTATTTAGAGAAGTTATTTCTGTGTGAATTCCATGCTGATAATTTTTATCTTGGTGCCACAGCTGCAGTCACTAATGGCAGATGCTATGGACACCCTTGAAGGAAGAAGAAACGATAAAGAACGTGTGTGGAATACAATCCAAAAGGTAAAACTTTGAGCTGAAGGAAAAAAGATATATTATTCTCGGAGAAAATGTCCATCTTGGGTCAAATCTGTTTAGAAGATACAAAGAAAAGAAAGCTCTTCAGGTTGTTTTATTGTCTGTTTGGGTTTTTTAAATAAATGCAGCTATCTCCCTGGAAGTGTAACCAGAATCAAAATGGATTTATTTAATCTATTTCCTCAGGTCTGCTCCTCCAGCAGATTGTGGTCATATGCTTTCATGGGTCTTCTTGTGCTCATTTTCATATTCTATTTTCATTATCTGCCTTCTCCATTATTGCTTATTGTAGATTTTCTTAAGGCCCATTCATCAATGTTTTAGTCCACCTCCCAACACTTTCCCCTATATTTTGTCACTTGAGGAAGACTGGCTACATTTCAGAGAACTACAGAAAAACTAGCACATTGATGCTTTGAGTTGAGGAGTAACATACTGGTTATTAGAAGTAGAGAAACAGTCAGAGTGCCTGGGTGGTTCAGCTGGTGAAGCAGCCAACTCTTGATTTTGGCTAAGGTCGTGATCTCATGGTTCGTCCTCTCTCTCTCTCTCTCTCTCTCTCTCTCTCTCCCCCCCCCCCCAAAATAAAGAAATAATAAAACATTTAAAAAAGAAGTAGAGGAATAGTCTACAACCATACCACCCTGAATGCACCCAATCTCTTCTAACCTCGGAAGCTAAGCAGGGTCAGGCCTGGTTAGTACTTGGATGGGAGAAGTAGAGGAGCATCCCTTCATTGGTTACCTGAGTTAAATAAAACAAGGACAAAGATGCACCTAGCATCAGGTACTCGGAAGACTTGTGTGACACTACAGAGCTCTCTGACAATGTAGGAGGGAGTAATGTTGGGTCTCCAGTCCAATTAAAGGTAATAAATTCTAGTCAGTCTACCCTCCATTCAGTCTCCTCCAATTACTGTGAGAACCCATAAAGGGAGACCTGGTGTCAGGAGATGTGAGAATAAACCAAAGAAGCCTCCGGTTTAAGAGGTAATAGTCAGCCATGAAGGAATCTAGTGCATGTGAGGAAATGGGTGTCTTCTGTAATCATTTCAGAGGTCCTATGGTAAAATACCTAGAACAGAAATTAACTGAATGCAGCAAATATTTGTCAACGATCTACTGTGCTAGAAAGAACACTTACAGATATTGTGCTGGACAATACAAACACAGCCCCTGCCTATATGAGCCTGACCATCTTGGAAAGAAGACAAGTATACAGCTACAAATTTACTGAATATTGTAGTTAAAAAGTGGATGTTAATAATCTATAGAAACAAATAGGGAAATATGATCTGGTCTGGGAGGTCAGAAAAGCCATCTCTGAGAAAGTGATATTTATACAACATTTCAAGGATATGTAGTAGTTATCTAGGAGAAAGGGGAGATTTCTGCAGAGAAGGAAGAGTTTATGCCAAGAGCACAAAGAAAGCAGGGCACATTTAACAACTGAGAAAAAATGTTAAAGGAGCAAGGAACATATTTCAAAATGAAGTGCAGAAATGGAAGTCAAATCACAGAAAGACTTATAAATTATGTTAAGGATTTGGAATGTTTCAGAACGCGTTTATCTGGAAAATGTTTCTGAGACATCTCTAGAGCTACAGTGGGAGAACAGATTGAGGAGTAGAAATGTGGGGCAGTCAGTTATAAGGCAATGGCCTGATCTATGGTGGTGGGTGTGGAGACAAAAAGAAGCAGACAGATAGAAGGAATGTGCAGGAAGCCAAATCTATAGGCCTTGTTCACTGAGTGCATAAGGGAGTTTAGAGAACAGGAAAAGTAAGAATGATGCCCAGACATTGGGCTTGAGTCACTGGGCGGGGAATGGCGAGAGGTTCACTGGTACCATTTACTAAGGAAGAAAGCCCTTCAAAAGTGTAGCTTTGGGCTGAGACTGTAAACTCTTTCAGAATCCAGTCAGGAGACTTGAAAGGGAATTTAATATAAAGAATGGCTGACTAGGTATGTATGTCATTGTTAACTAGGGAACTGAAAAAGCAAAGGAGAACCATAAATTTAGCACAAAAGAAGCAATTAAAATGAGCAGCTACCACCCATTAGGGCTGGGAAATCAAAGAGAAGAGACTGGAATTATGAAAACTTCGAAATTTGGAGCAAGGACCCTGCTGGACCAAAACTTAGACCTCCCACTAGAAGGCATTGCTCAACTGGTGCTATTATCTCCACTCTTGGAGCTGAATCCTGAAGGGTTGAGATCCAGACTTAGGAGGGGGCACTAACTCACTGGTGCTGATGGGAGGGAGGGTGGCAGGAGCAGGGAGGGAGTGGTAATGGAGGTAATTGTGCAACTTTCGAAAACACTAGATTCACCTGCTACTACAGAAAGGAGCACAACTTTCTGGAGCAAAGAAGCCTCGTTTCAGAGATGCTCACAGGAACCCCAAAGGGCAGGAAGTCAGCAGCAAGTCCCTCCTTTCTCCTTTGGCATTGCAATGCCCCTATATCACCTCCTAGTGATGGAGACTAACAACTGGCAAAACAGAAATGAGGTTTGCAGAGTTCCAGCCCCCAGCATCACAGAGTTAATCATAGAAGGGTGGGTTTGGAGTTAAGAAATTATGGGCTAATAACTGGCACAAAAATGCATTGAGCTTAGGATGCTGGCAAGATATCCAAGGGAAAGTACAGGAGTCTGGAGTTCTGGATAAAAGACCAAATAGAGATTTTTTTAGTTGTTGGCAAATTGATATCAACTGAAATCATAAGAGAGGGTGAGATGGCTGAGAAAGAGCATAGAATAAGAAGAGAGCCTTGCAGAGCACATTCCAAACTTAAGAAGAGAACCATACAAAGGAGACTCAGAAGAAATGGCAAGAGGAATTGCAGCTGGAGGTAAACCAAATGCAATGCTGATGAGAGTCAAGCAAAAGAATCAAATATCTCTGTTCGCTATAGAAATCATTTTTTGGCATGAGGTTAGAAAACTAGAGCGCACAGGTCAAAACCAACTAGTCACCTATTTTTCTAAATAAAATTTATCGCACACAGCCATGTCACTCATTTACATATGGTCTATGTCACCTTGGTCAAGTTGAGTAGTTGCTAGAGAGGCCGTATAGCTCACAAAGCCTAAAATATTTACTAACTGACCCTACACAGAAAACGTATGCTGTACCCTGGTTTATAGCATTATCCATCCCAAAAGTATATACCTTTGTACACTACATCTTTGCACTTACAAATCCAAGTGATAATAAAGTGGAAGTCCGGCAATGAAATTCCAAGGACTAGCTAAAAAGGTGGAAGAGAAATTGACATTTGTCTATACCTACTTACATCTTACAGATAACCACCAATTCCACCTCACAATAAGGTAGTTTTTGATGCTTACATTCAAAGAAATGTTTAGCCTATGACTTCCCACTTTGCTGCTATTGCAGTTATTTATTACTGTGTCATCAATCACCCAAATATAGTGGTTTAGAATAATAATCCAATATTATCTCTCACAATTCTATGAGCTGACAAGACTCAGCTAGGGGTGGATCTTGCTCACTGTCTCTCATGTAGTTCAATCAACTGGCTTCTGTGCCTGGGGCTAGAGTCATCTGAAGGCTAAGATGTACTAGACTACAACATGGCTCCCTCATATGGTTGACACAGCTGACTGGACTGCCTACCCATGTGGCCTGTCCATGTGAATGAGGCTTTAAACAGCATTACAGCTGGGTTCCAAGAGGAAATATTTCAAGAGAAAGGAAGTGGAAACCACCAGTCTTCTTTAAGGCCACTTCCAGAACTTCCACCATATTCTACTAGTTGAAGAAGTTACAGGCCAGCCCAGATTCACAGGGTTGGAGGAATAGATTCCATTTCTCCGAGGACGAGTGCGTTCATGAGGAGAATGAAATGATAGCATCTATCTTGGAGACAAGCTTCAGCAGCAGAGCTATGGACCTGTGTCCTGTGCTGGAAAACACCTGCAAGCAAGAATCAGGAGGATAGTAATGTCAAGGCCTCTGAGGTTGGAACACTGCAGAGCCACTCTACTCAACCACTAGGTGTCTAGAAGGACTCACTGGTGAGCAGCTCATCTTTCCAAATTAAAAGCCCTGGTAATGATCCTAACTTTTTCTAAATGGAAGCTCCTGAGAGGTCTTTACGAAGATGTGAATGGGAAGGAACAGGGTGCCAAATTTTTCCCAAGGGCTTTTAATTTGGTTAATGTGACTCTACAGAGCATGATCATATCACTTTCAGACAATTCCGGTAGCAAGTAAGTAATTTCCTTTTACTGCTACAGAGTTAATTTGCGTGTGCAGAAAAAAATAATTAAAAAAACCTAATTGTACAAGCTACACTGTGTTCTGAGCCCACTAGAAGTTGATATCAGCATCACCACCTCTGAGATCTGTTATCTGTAATAGAAACAGCTGTTGTACCTAATGAAAACACTTGAAATTTTCATCTGAAGCAGCAGAATTATAGCAGCACCTCCTAGTTCCACGTACTTAAAGGGTCTGTCAGAATCCCCATTACCTAACACAATTTCCAGGGCTTCACTTTGTTATAGGTCTATAAAAAGCCCATCAAGAGGAAATCTGATTCATGACTGCTGACCTCCTGTCTACATTTTTTTTCTTTGAGATTTCTTGAAGAACTCAGAAGAAGAAAGAAAGAGACAATTGTGTTTTTTCCTAATTTACCAGGATGAAAATATATTCTTTATAGAGTTTTAGGAAAGTGGCTTTGGTTTTGGTTTGGCTTTACAGCATATTTCCTTTCCAGTAATTAACTCAAGAAAGATATATGTTTGTTGGTTTAGCTGTGCAAAAAAAAAAAAAAAGCAGACTACGTCCAAAAAAACGTAAATTTTCTTACGCTGGAAAGTTCCGTGCTACAGCAGGACGCTTTAACAAGGTTCAGTCCATAACAACAACAACAACAACAACAACAACAACAACAACAACAACAAAAAAGACAAAACAAAAAAGCCTGAGAAAACATAATCTTTTGAATATC